AAAAGATATTGAAACACCCAATGGAAAAAGTATCCATTCAGGTATGCTTTATAAAATCTAGGTAGATATAGTCAAGCCAACACTCCCATTGGTTAGGACTAAAGGAGCTGAACTGAAGGTCTAAACACATTAGATCAGCTTTGACCAGCTTTGATTTCCAAAGGGTGAGATTACATTAGAGAAAAAAAAAAAATCACTGTAGGCCTCCTGGAAGTCACTGTGAATGTGAGCAGTAGTCTAACCAGGTTCAGCTGAAAACACATTGGTGTACCTGACTGATGTGGTTGAAGGTTGGCCTACATTATTTTTAAGCAAATTGAATAACGCGTTGGATCATGTAAAATCTGTGATTCATCCAAAGACAGCACACAGAAACAATGCCGTGATTGATTTGAGGGCTCATTTGCATAATACAGTCTTCTGTGGTAATACTGTAGAGCAACATATAACAAACAAACTGTTGGCACAATGTCTACTGAGGAGAAAAGACCACCTGTAAGAAGATAATGAATCTCTGTCAGCATCCACTAGCCGGGTTCCCATTCAGACGTTTCACAAATGTTATGTGCATTCACAAAATTTCTGCTGAAAAAAAGAGAAACAAGTCATGTTTCTTCCACTACAGTTTTGCAAAGAAACTTTAGTAGACGTAGGCTACTATGATTAGGGTCTTCAACGATAGGAGCAAGATGCGGCTTCACTTGGTTTCTGCTTTAAGTAGAATTATCTTTACGGTCATTTGCCTTCGTTATATGATTGATTACAGCTCAGATACGTCATGCAGGACGAGCAATGGCCCACTTAATGAAGGCTGAGATCTCTGTGCCACCTCGACGTCATCTGCCTTGCATCTTAATGCAAACACACCAGACAATTCTGGCTTTTCAGAATGTCATAAGCAGCCTGCAAAAGGCTATGGCCACGATCAGACCCTCCGTAGGGTCAGTCGTTTCTTACTTGTCATCATTTATTCAAAAAACTTTTTTCCATCACCTTTTTTTGCATTTTGGCTTTAGTGATATTCTAACTTTTCCACCTCATCCTAGCATAAAAACTCTTTTTGCAAAATTTTGCGTGTTTTGTTTTTTTTTTTTTATTTCGGGCATTTCATTCATTTTTTGGTTAATTTTTAAAATTTGCAAAAAAATTGGTGGATGGAAAACCTGCCGTTGTTGTGCCTGTTAGCTCTATTAGCTTCTTAGCTCATCTGAGCCTGTGTAACTCATCCAACACAAAAAACCTACCGATTTTCCTCAGCAATTTTTGAATAGTGAAATATGTTTGAAATATGTTGAACAATAAAAAATATATTCCTTCTGATGCTTCTAAATATTTGTGCAACACGGTTTTCTTGGTTAATGATCATTTACATCCCTTCTCCCCTACTTAAGAAATTGCATTTAGGGCAGTTTTCACATTTCTCTTGAAATATATTTCAGTGGCAGTGCTTTTTTCATTTCATAATCACTTTATGACATGTCTTGCTATTTCTGTGTCTGCTGATCTCAGCCTTGATTGGGCATTGAGCGCAGTGCAAAGTAAAAATGTGCATTTGATTTAAAATAAATGAAGCCTCTCAAGAACTTTGGCATGAAAGGAGTGAATGTGTGCAGCTGGAAATGAAAAGGAAAGAATGGTTTAAATCAACTGTCTGACCCATATTAAAAAGGCACATTGACATTATTTCAAAGCCAAGTCTGAGTTTTCTCTCCACAGCAGTCATTATTGTTCAGAGCTCTCGCCGTTATAAGCTAATAGGAGTCTTTGGGAATCAAATAAACTCTGGTGCTTTATGAAATGAAACGTGTGCCAGAAGAACACATTAAGTGATGTGTACTCTACTCAATTGACTCGAAAAGACTTCTTGTTGGCCTGGTTGCACATGTAAAACCAATGAAGCACAGTAAGGCCTTCTCTGAAAGCCCCAGATACTTTGTTTCTTAAAGAGGAATCCCACCGATTTTTCAAAATTTATGCATCATTCAATGGTTGAACTGTAAACAAAGTCATTTGAGAGTGGTTTGATGTGAAATGGTTTATTATACAGAAACCTACAGACTCCTTAGTTTTTACAGTGGTGGTGATTAGAACCAGGGGTGGCAATGTCTGCAATGCATACTTACTCATTGTTTATTTACTGTCCAAAATCATTAGTGAACCTACGTGTATTCTGAGTTATTTGTAATGTTGATGATGATGTAAAATACTGGTAAATATAAAAAAAAGTTTTCTTTAGAGACTACTTTGCATGGAGCCCTGCTGGTGACATCCTGTATAAATAAAATTAATGCGCGGGAATGAGATCCTAATGCATGGCCACGACTTAGTAAGGTGTGGGAATGAGATGATTAAATCGTGGCCATGACTTAGTAAGGTGTGGGAACGAGATCACGGCTTACTAACTCGTGGCCATGCATTAGGATCTCATTCCCACGCCTTACTACGTGGTGGCCATGCCTTAAGATCTCGTTCCCACGTTTTACTAAGTCGTGGCTATGACTTAATCATCTCATTCCCACGCCATACTAAGTCATGACCATGCATTATTTTTATTTATACAGGATGTCACCAGTGGGGCTCTGTAACTTTGCCCTCTAATATCTTGCATGTACCTCTAAATACATTTTAGGCCAAACCTTCTCTCAAAACTATCATAAAACAATGTCTCGGGCATCGGGCAGCGCATTTGTAACCATTTTATGTAAAACCTTTGTGTGAGGAAACTTTTAGGGATCTCTTCAGGCATCCGGTTCGTTTCACCATCGCAGTGAACAATTCTAATTAGGTTTCTCTAGAGCAGAGCATTTTACATCAAACCACTTTCCATGTCTTTATGTCTTAACCATTGCGCTGGGACAGAGGAGGAAACTCTGAGAAGCTTGGGCAGGAGTTCTGGGATAGCTTGCTGATATAGGGAAATGTGTGGATGATCTGGTAGAGCGAGGAGAGAGGTGTAGCAGCCTGCGGAGGCAAGGGAGATGCTACCTGAGCGCAGGCTAAAAAGAACCTTTATCGTGTTTAGAATATGTGGACCCAGACGCCAAAGCACGCTCTCAAGTCAGCTGCCAGCATGTAGAAAATCATTTTTGCAGCTCTCATTGCGATACCTGCATTTCTCAAAAACATACTTGTCTTCTAATGTGTGCATAAAAGCACAAACACATCTAGTTTTGGCTTTGCTTGCATCAGATTATAATGATGAGACTTGGGCTTTTGAGTGTTTGTGCGTGGCAGAAACTCATTATATGCCCTCTTTTTGCTCTGTAGTTTACTGTATATTCCACCAATTTTTTAATGTTTGCTTAATTCAAGAGAGATGTAAACTATGAAGTCATTCAAAAAAGTCATGCAAAAAAATTCTTTGGAGGTGAATTTTTTGCTTTACAATCCCCTGCATGTACCTTTCCTACATAAATGGATTTTAAAAATAGATAAAAAAAATACAAGACAAATATTATGGCAAAACCTTTTGGCACAACTATTGTAAATCAGTGTCTCAAACATCAGGAAAAGTATTTGTAACTATTTCATGTAATAACATTCTGTGAGGGAGCTTTTAAAGGCAATAAATGCTTCAGACATCTGGTTCCTATCACCACCACTGTGAACAATTCTGCAAGTTTCCTTAGAATGACTCATTTCACATCAAACCACTCTGACTTTGCTTATATGTAAAGGCTTTTATTATGCAGAATTTTTTGCAAAATCAGTGGAATTCCTTTTTAAGAGCAAGGTGCTTTCTATTATCAAAATCTGCCAGGATCCTAAAAGTTTTGTAGTGTACATCCAGCTAAAGGTGGAGCTGTAATAAGTGATTTTAGGTTTTGGTTGTTATCTGTGCAGTTGTATGTACTGTAGCTATAAATCATATATCTTATGAATCGTCAGGTTGTCCTGAATCTAGTAACACCATGTGTTTCACTGCCACCCCATACTGCCATTTTGAATTGACTAAAAATTGACACTTTTTTGGTCTCTGAGAACATCTATCCAATGCGCTCAAAATTTGTTGTGTAGCGGTGTAAGACCATGCTAGCCAAGAGTTGTTTAAAGGACGCATAGTGTCGTGATGATGAAAATTTGGCTTGTAACTTTAAGTGTAAATATTTTTTCTTTCATATTGACTTGCCACAAACTCATCTTTTTTAAAGTCACTGAAAGGGTCAGTATGGGAGGGCCACGTCCACCTGCCATTCTTGATGCTTGTGTGAATCTGCTGCATGACACACCTTGAACTCAGGGGCCAAGCTGTCAACACTGTAGAGCCTTCAGATCAAAGGAAGTCATCAGTTTTTACTTATGTTCTATAAGGATTTACCGCCATGACACTGCAAACATCAGTATTGTTGAGCAGCTTGATTGATTTTAGCCTGTACACCCATCAATTAACAAAAAACTCATAATTACTGAATACAATGAAACTGTGACTTTCCTGTGTTGCATCAATAAACAAGCCTGCATGTCACGTTTGCAATTAATGATTATTTACCTCTAACTAACGGATTTACCAGGCTCCTGCGAAGCGTATGGAGAATTGCACACATTGCTGTTTCTCTCAGTGGCTGGGAAAATGATAGCTTGTTTCACCCTTGAGGCTTACATTATCTTAATAATCTATCTGGGGAATATGTTTTGCTAGACTAATGCACTGATGTAATGGAGCCAACTTAATGAATTATTAGGGAAGTTAAGCTCTTTCTGGAACAGCTCCACTTGGTATTTTAAATGTCAAGCAGTTTATTCTTATGAAGTCACGCGGCCTTTTGTTTATTGTTGCAATTCGGACTGCTTTCTGCAGGGGAGAGAACAGCTCTTCTTGTATGTGTGTAGTAGATGCAAATATGCATATACAGTACAAGTCAAAAGTTTGGACGCATCTTATCATGAACTATTGTGTTTTTTTTGTTTTTTTTTGTTTTTTGTTTTTTTAAATCTATTTTCCAGAGTGTCTGTTTAGCAACACCTGAATGCACCGGTTTGTTCTGTCTTTCTCACTGCAGGTGGTACACAGCGTCTCCCACGGACTGTAGGTGTATCTTTGGCTAAGGAGCTGATCTTCGCTGCTCGAGTGATTGATGGTACAGAGGCGAAGGCTCTAGGCCTGGTAAACCATGCTGTTGAGCAGAACAAAAGCGGAGATGCGGCCTACCTGAGGGCTCTGGAGCTGGCCCGTGAGTTCAACCCACAGGTACAGCCTTGTGAGACTACAGCACTGCACTGTTTAGTGTTTGAAATAACCCATAAACCTACCATGCACTCCGCAGTCAATACATCCTATACATGGAAATTGAACTGCAAAAACAGGTCTTTGCTGCAGGTGTGATATCACGAGAACCAGTGTATTTACTTAGCTCTGCCCAGTCACACTGAAGTGTTTCAGCTTGGAATGCTTTTTGAACAAGGCACAATACAGAGCAGAATAATGATCATTTACATATTATGGGTATACATGGTGATTTGAGTACTTAGTTAACCGCTTAAGTTTCCAGTATTCGAATACACAAGCCAAAAAGTGAGTTTGTATATTACACTGTGTCTTTCCAAAACACAAATGCCCTTATGTGTGGTTAACTGGATAGCCATTCATTAACTCTTGCAGAGATTTAATGTCAAAATTATGAAAGTCTGAGTGCACATCCCTATTACAGATATTGGTCTTAAAGGCAGAGTGACAAAATCAGTCTGTTTAATAAAAAAGGTTAAATAGAGTTTGCAAAATGGTTATGTAAAAATGAATCACCGTTTTTGGTACATAAAACTATGTATAAAAATTAAAAGACATTTTTATTGATCATTGATAATTTAAAATTGAGTGTGATACAGAAGTGGAAACAACACTGTGCAGTAGCCCTCCATTGATCTCACTCGAATAAATGCTTTCCAACATTTTTAGTCTGGTGGGATATGAAGTATCTTGCAGCTTTTTGTCTGATTTTGTATGAGTAATTTGGAAAGTTTGCCTTAATATAATCATAATAATACTAGAAATAGTACATTGATACCCTGTTCGTGGCAGAGTTGGCAATGCATTAATCTTTGAAATTGAATAAGTATGAGCTAAGTTTAGGATCGAAAAATGTGTAATTTTTCTACAACTTTTCAAGGTATGTCCTTTCTTTTGTCTCATAGTGATGTGTATGATTTGAATGATTTGAAGGGAAAGCTACATATGTTTCTGATGAAATTCTGTCCTTGTTCTTTTAGGGACCTATTGCAATCAGAATGGCCAAGCTGGCCATTAACCAGGGCATAGAGGTAAGATTACATGTTGTTGTAAATTATGCTCTAATTTGGGTCTTACTAAAGGATGAGAATATGAAACAGTGGGTTTTTGTTTGCTTTTATTTGCCTGGTTAGCCAGTATTGGCTAGACAAGCAGTGAATTAAGCATTGGAGGGATTGGAGGGTATTTTTTCTGCTTATGATAAAAATGCCCCAAGTAAGCTGATCTAATGTTTATCGGTTTCCATTCGTTCTTATATTGGTTTAAAGAGATCAGGAGCACCAGGCTTTGCATGCCTAACAGACGTGTTAGATTGAGTTGTCCGAAACTGGCTACTGAAAACTCCAGTACGTGAGGGTCACGTCCGGCTGCCATTCTAGATGCCACAGAGAGTCTGCTGTGTGACATCACCTTGAACCCAGGGGCCAAGCTGTCAACACTGTAGAGCCTTGAGGTCAAAGGAAGTCATTAGTAAAGCAGGTTTCCTGACAAGTGTTGTCATTTTTATCAGTGATCAAATAGAGCCTGTTTTTAAAGCTCCACTCAAGCATATCAGTCAGGTCAGTTTTTAGCACAACAGATACCATGGAATAACGACTGTGTTTACACTGTAAATGTTTATTATGCTGTCACTTGGTAAACTCTGGATTAGTCTTGTGATAGGTGTGCCAATGTTTTCCCAATTTCTGATTGGATTTCATTTCTAAGCCTGGCGGCCAGCGTGGCGTTTACTGCTTACTGCTTAACATTGTTTCAGGTGTGCCCTGATTGTATTACAAGGACATGTGAGCCAGTGGTGACACGTCACAACTCGGAAGGTCAAATATCATAATTATTTATGACTTTCTAGCTAAAAGGATCAAGTTGTAAAGTTTCACAGTTGGTAACTTATTTAGAACTTCCGTTGTGAATGAAAGGAAGTTTTACAATAATATAAAAAGCACAATGCAGTTCAGGGTTCATGACGGGTAACTACGTACATGACATATCACATTATTCTACAAGACCTCCTTTTTGTGAATACATTGTGAAATGCATGTTGGGCTTTTATGCCTCCCTAAGTTTAAAAATGTCACGTGGGGCGACCACCAAACCATTTATGCAAAGTAAACTATTACAAAAGCTAATTTAGTCATATAAAATTTTAAATAAAACCTGCTAAATCAGAACATGTTGCAAAATAAGGCAACTCAAACAGTGTAATAATTGCAAAACTTTTGTCCGTAAATTCTGATTTCCTCAAATGTCATGCGGCACTGGACTTTTATACTCATATGCATTTAAGAAAGAGTGGGCAGGGTGTTGCCTCATAAAAAGACCACAAATGACCTTCATTGTGCAATACCAAGGTCAGTAGCTCTTTCACTTAAAAAATGGTCACATTTTAGCCATGGTTAGGCTGTCTCAGTTTACCACATTAGGTGGTGTCACCTCTGGTAAACCCTAGTTATTATTATTATTGTTATTATTATCTTTATTTGTTTATTTATTTATTTATTAGAAAAAATGTGTAGCCTTGAGTTAAAAGACAAAGGGGTGTCCAAGTACAAAGACTAGTTTCAAAGACTGGGTTGTTAAATTACACCATTGTAAAAGCTGTAAAACACATCACATTTAATAGATTATTGCAGACATACAAAAATGCACATTATATACGTTTTAAACAGTTTTACATTCATTTTGATTTTTTTTTTATTTTAAAGAATTTCTAAAATTTGTAAATTTATTTTAAAATCCCTTATTTATCACAAACTTGCGAATTTTTTCTAACTTGTAGGTCACTGAAACAATTATTTCAGCTATTTTAGACATTTTATTATTATGTGAATTTTTTTTTTTGGTCATTGCTTGATAGAAGGTAAATCATATGTAAGTGTAATTCATCATGTAACTCATTATGTAGTTAAATATTGTACTTAGGTAAGTAAATTTTTAATAAAGACAGCAAAATGACTAAAACTGCCATACTGACTTCTAAGATTTTATCTGATTTCATTGGCTTTTACAGTTTGCCCGTCTTTGTTAATATGCTAAAATCACTCGCTTTGCTGTGACCTTCTTGGTAAGAGATGTCTTTGTTCAACTGGTGTGAAAAGGGTCCTATTAAGGGTTTGTAGCCTGAACTCAAAAATTAGGTTATTTGTCTAGCATGGAGTGTGACTGGGGAGATATTTCTGGATCAGTGAAATGCCAAGGTAACCTATGAAAGTAGGTCTCCTGTCCTTCCCTATTGTCACCAGAAAGTCTCCCAGGTTCATTATGTAGCCTGTTTCTGCAAGGAGTGGGATGTGTTAATGACATTTGTTCAGCCACTCAGAGCTTCTTGAAAAAAATAACTAGGTTATCTGTAATTGATCAAGTTACGCTGCTGTCTTCTTAGTAATTTGACTTTAAGTTTCAAAATATTTTAAGGGTAAGAAAGTGTCAGTCTGTTGCTGTAGCTGCTGCTGCTGCTGCTGCTGCTGCAGTTTCTGAGACTTTTTTCCTTCCTTTTCAAACACTGCAAGGTGATGTTAAGCTCTTGTATTGTGGTGTGAATGACAGGAGCATATGTCCTCACTCTCTGTTTTAATCTCCCCCCAGGTTGATTTAACAACAGGATTAGCAATTGAAGAAGCGTGCTATGCACAGGTATGCCCTCAATTCAACACATTTAATAGCTGAACTATGCTGAAAAACATGCTTCATTAAATGTACATTTAAAATATTTTACATCAACACAGTTCTTGCCAAAAAGCTAAATGAAAGACAGCAATTGAGTTTACGTAGCTTCTTCGTGTTCAATCAATTGGCATATTTGACTAAAAAATTTTGTTTTTTCAGTGTGGCAACAAATTTTTTGTTGTCTGTTTAGTGTACAGTTCTAAGACATGCTTAACTATAGTTGTAATGTAACATATAATTACATCACAGCTGTGTAATATGTTTAGATTAGTGGAAATAAGCACAGCTGTTTTTGGGATGCTGGAGGTAAATTATACGATAAATTATGTTTATGTTTCTTTGTAGTGTCTTCATAGTGTCCTGAACTAATGTTTTAGCCCCAAGCTACACATTAGCTAACATTCTTGTCACAATTAATATGTCATTTTCACAATCATGACAAAATCTTGCATCTCTGTTTTCTCCATTTTTCATTTTTTTTTGACAATTTGAAACTGGCGGCTGCTATTTACATAGTATTAACATTTCATAATGAACAGACAAGCAGAAGTGCTTTAAAATATTTGAAAAAAAAAATCTGGTTTCATTAACTTCCTCATTAAAGATAAGTGTTTTTTCCTACTCCTGTGAAGTTTTTTTAGCATAGTTTTGTCTCAACAATGATATGTTGTGATACAATCTGATATGTTGTACTGTTAGAAACAGTGCAAATGGAGATATTAAAAACTGGGTACCAGGTCTTATTTTTAAGTTACGTGAAATAACATGATAAATAATTTACTGCAGTCAACAATTTATCCTTTTTTTTGCTGTCTGGCTGGAGATTTTATCACCACTTTTCCAATAGCTTGTTAATATTATTGTTATTGTTGTTTCTCAGTCATTTTAATATTATCTTCAGCTTTGTTCATCATTCCTATCTTATTTGAAGATATTCAGCTATTGAAGCTGTGGAGTAGGTATATCATAAGAATTTTGATTATTTGGTTTAATTATTTACAATTATCACAGTCATTGTATACATGTATCCACAACAACGTTGGTTTTATGTTACTGAAAACAGCGAATCCAAACTTTGCAAAAAAAAAAAGTGTAGATTATGCTAAAAGATATGCTTCCCAATGTAATATGAAGTCACTGTGGCGTTTCCTAGGTGATTCCAACGAAGGACAGACTGGAGGGTCTGGCAGCGTTTAAGGAGAAGAGACCCCCTCGCTACAAGGGCGAGTAAACCGGGCCCTTCCCTGCTGACCCGCTGCCTTCCAGATTTCCTTTCACTGCTTCTGACGACTGTCGTAAAGAAAGCGCTAGCCTGCACTGCGCCTGCCTGACCAGCTGAGCCGCCGCCGGCCCTCCGTTGGCCTGCTGTCAGCCCACTGTTGGGAAAGACCAGTGGAGATTCTGTTCACAAGGACTTAGCCAGGGTTTAGAGGTGAGAGAGGGAGGACCATGATGCTTCCCTCACCTGTGGATCAACTCTGTTCTGCATGGTGTGTCTTTTTTAATTTAGTCTTTTTTTAAATCACAGGTTTTGCCTTTCTTTACTACGTGTTGTGAATCTGTTCTGTGTAAAGTGTCTTTAAATGTTCACTTCAGGCGTTTCATAATTCAGACTAACACTACAGAGCATATAGATATATAGACAGTATCTAAGTAATTAAATATTAATATAAGGATACATAATATTAACAGTGCATAGATTGAAGCTGCATCAGAGCCTTCCAGAAGATTGTTATAATCTACATAATGCTGTATAGAGAATGACCGACACTGTCACATGTCCCTAGTAATTGAATTAAGGTAATTATTTTTCTTTTTTTAGGTAAGGTAAGGTAACCGTGCCCTTTATTAATTGATGCAATAAAACATTGTCCAAAAGTACATCTTGTATAATTTCAGTTCTGCTGCTGCACACATTTGCATAAAAATATGAGGTAATACAAAATCTCAACCTAAAATTGGCTCAGTCCTCCACCCATTGCATTTTAACCAGCCGCAGACTGCTTTGAAGTCCAAGTGGAACTTTTTTTGGTCACATACTGCAGACGTAATGGCTGTTTTTTTTTTTTGCTGGTGCCCAAAACCGTATGAGTCATTGCATGTTAAAAACAGCAGGTGAGTGTACACTCTCATTTGTCACTGACCCACAGCTTAGGTAAGAGGGAACTGTCTACAATGAATAGGCCTGTTATCTAGGTGTTAATGATTATTATCTAATTGAGGGACTTTTTCTTTCAGCACTTGCACATTTTGAAGGGGTTTGGTTACATGCGGAGCAGCAGTTAATGTTTACTTTGATATGCAGTAGGCTTTGGAAGATCTACTGAAGCCGTTGCATCATTCTGAAGGAATCCAATTAAAAAAAACTTTAAAACTTTTCTTTAGTCTTTAGGCTGTGCCTTCATTCTGTAACGTTTCCCACACAAAAGCAAGAGAGCCACACCTAAGGCAGGCAGCGTTCCATGTTTAAAATGGGTGGACAAATCTGCAACCCATTTCACCCAGCCAGCCTGCCACAGGAAGTGACTAGGCAGTTAAAGATTAATGCCACATTACACAAATTTCTGTCTTATTTGGTTTCAGGACTCTGTTTTCTTCTTGAAAAAAGTCCAGTATTATGTAAAAAAAAACAGAAAGAAAAGCATTATTATCTAGGGGAAAGGTTGGAAGCTGAGGCTGCTGGGGAACGTAGTCTCGGCCTTAGCGTTGATGTAGCAGTTCATAGAGGAAAGAGACAAAAAAAAGAGAGAAAAGCCCAGTCTGTTGCAAGAGCTGCTGTGTCAGCCACCAGGAACGTTGCCCTGGGGGTCAGCGGGGGATGGGCCACCCCACTGCATTCTGGGAATGATTAACCCAGTGATGTAATGCTTATCTAATGAACCTCAAAAACAGGAAAAAGGAATGACTACAGAATTATACCCGTCCCTGGATCATGTTTGCCGGTTACTCATTGTACCCTTTTAACCATTTAATCCCTTATCAGCTCTCACGGAAGTCCCATAGACGCAGAGCTCTGGTGAGCAACACCAGATGTTGTTCACAAAGTCCTCAGGTTGACCTGTTTGTTCATTTGCTGTACTTGTACTCCTACAGTTGAGGATGCTTGCTTATGAAGTATCAAAGGTCACTCTGCACTCTTTGGGGGGAAGAAAAAAGGCGCCAGAAACAGTTCTTTGGGCTGATATAACTTCTTTTGTTTCCCTAAAGAACTTTTCAGTGGATTTCAGATATGCGAGTGCAAAGAAGCTCCATGAAATTTGAAGAAACTGAAGGTTCTATACTAATTAAAGACGTTATGGCATTTTTCTTGCCAGTTCACATACATCGCTTGTCACTGTGTCCACCATTGAAGAAATGATCAAATGTGAAGTCTTTGCCATTTTGGCCTATTTCTCCTTGCAGAAAGCATCTGATTATACTGGCTGTTAGGATTTGCTGCTCAATTCTGCACCACATCGGGCTAGTGTCCTATATATACATTTGCCCATGTTACTTTGATGCTAACATAACAGGCGAATCCCTTGTGAAAATTAGCGTTATCTTAGCCTGGCAAACATGTTAACAAAGGCTACTTTCAAAGTGACTTACAAGGTTTCTGCATTAAACATTGTCTAATGACATGCTTGACTGGTACGTGCTCGTGATTTTGTGGGTGTATCTGGTCTTTTTTTGTAAACAAGCTGAAAGTTTGAACATGGTCTTTATACTGTGCTCTGTGGCAGCCGTAGTTGAGCTCTCCTCCATAGTCCATAGGCCACACCCCCTACTACTGAGACCGGCAATGAGAGCAGTGGGCTTTAATATGTAAAATCAACACCCAGAAAATTACGTGCTCATCAGATAAAATACATAATTGATAGGGTAAAGCACAACATAGAAAGACTCTTCACATTTGTCTTTAAAAAAAACAGAACTATTTTAAATTAGAAAAAAGGGCTTGTTATGATGGAAAAAATCTTTTTCATCACTTTTTTGAAAAAAAAATGTTTGATGTGTGATTTTGTTCACTCCTTACAATGCATGGTAGCCAAGCACAACCGAGGTAATTCACATATATCTGTCTTAAAGACAGTAGCAAAACAGCCTGTTTAATTCTAAGAGACGTAAAATAATTCTGAAAGAATTATTTTGTAAAAATGAATTATGGCTGTTTTTGGTACAAAACACCACACTAATGCGATACGTTGGCCTCATAAATGCATGAAAAGTCACATGGGCCCTCTAAAAGGTTTGCTAGTGCTGCATGTCGGAACCAAGAACAGTGAGTGTCTATGCCATCTTAGGGTTCTGCATGTGTCTTCTGAGTAACCAACACTAACAGCCTTGTGGTTTTAATGGGAGCTGAGTCACCTTATTTAAAACGTTGGGAGCCGATTCTTGTTTTCAATTAAGACCAAAATGTCTTCAGTGGAGCTTTCTGTACTCCTGCCACAATGTATTGTGTGTTTTTTTCCTTCATGTGAGGGTATGAAACCACTGTGGAATGATCTGAGGTTTTGTTTCAGGAATTTTCTCTGCATTTTTTTTTTAATACCATTCCCAGCCCACACGCCTGGCAGTTCAATGAAGTCCTTCTTCTGTCATTTCACGTAGCATGTCCTCACTCGCCAGCGCCGAGCTGTAGCCGGCTGTTTTCCCGTCACACTTACAGTCAGACGAGCATTCTCTCTTGAAGTGGTCTGGTGCACCACACCTGAAGAAACCTCCGGAATGTGGCAAATAGTCACTCCAGTGCCGCTCATGAGGAATGATGACAAGCCTCCTATCTTTCACACCTCCAAAACCGGCTTTCAGCAGTGCCAGAGTGATTTACTTGCTGTAATGCTTGACTGGGAGCTGTAAAGAGAGAAAATGCTGACTTTGTGTCTGGGGCCTGCGATCAATTCTTTTGTTGTAGTTCCCTGAGCTTATCTGGCCAGGGTCAAACACACTGTATTGTATTTGTGCAGTGAGTGGCGTAACTAGGATCTGATGAACCCCAGTGCAAAATAAATTAATAAATAAATTGACTAATTGATTAATAAATAAGGAAAGGATAATGGAATTTGTTGGTTTACTTGCTATTGTTATGTCTAGACCAAGTTGGTGCAGTAATGTGTGCTACTGTTATTGTAACTGCCAGTGGTGAACCATGATTATTAGAGCTAGGCCTCCAATTTGGGCAGTAAATATCAAAACTTGGTCAAAAGTGAGGAAAAACTACCTTTACGATAATGCTAATAACTAGTGTGTTAGCACTAAGCTAACAGTAATTCACATGGACTTTTTCAGCCATTCTGGATTAAATGTGGACACTTGAAGATTGTAAAAGACATGGCACGTTTTATTTGAGGCTTGTAAAAGATGCATTAACATATATTTTACCTTGTAGGAGTTGTACGATGCTGCTGCTCTTTTCCGTTTTTAACATCTGATTGAAATGCACAGGCTACCACTCATAATACTCAGTCAGTTCAGATCATGAAGTCCTAACCAAAGGGAGAGTTATATTGGCTGTATCTGCCTAAATTTAGCAGAGAAACAAATGCTGAAGTATGCTACAATACTTGAAGAGGTAAATACAACAAGCATGAACACTATATTAAATAAAAACGAGTACACATGTATTTTTCATTTCACAGAAAACAATTAGGCCTTCTCTGAAGGCCTAGAAGGCCTTGTGGGTTCCCCACTGGTAGCTGCTCATGACTCATGTGTGTAGAATTGCATGAGCAGCGATATAAGGGGCCCAATAAAAACATTAGAGGGTCCAATAACCACAGGCTCCCCCACACTACTTACCCCACTAGGTGCAGCATCTGCACCCAGTGGGGTAAGTAGTATGGTGGGCTAGGGAGGAAGGCATTTTGATAGGTCTTGGGTCATCTGCGACTGTCTTAAATGCTGCATTGAAGCACTTGTAACAGAAACTGCAGAAACTAGTCTTAGAACATTTGCAACAAAGCAACTTCTGGGCAGTTTTGGTGTGTCTTCTGGTGTCTGTAACACTTGGCCTGTTTGGATGCCCCAGTTTTGTTATGTAGGGCTCAAATGTGCTGACCTCGTTCTCATAAACATTCAGTATCTGGTTCACATGTACGATGAAGGGTATGTGTATTATTTCACTTTGTGAAATGAAAAAAAAAATTCCCTGTCCTTCAGCGACACGTGCTGCGTGAACACACGACCTGTTACTTTTAATGCAATGCTATATGAAACAGAACAGCAAATGTGTGAAATAGTAACAAAGCACTTTGCTGGTGGGGAATTTGCTACTGTGTCCTTTATGCAATGGATACTCATAATGTTTTTATTTGGAGACATCTGCACCTCGTTGGAGGCTTTGTTAAAAACCTCTGGCAGCCATTGTGTGTGTGACTTATGAGCCCACACGTCAGCTTATACAGTGGGTTTAAAAACGTACCCGGCGAATATTGAGAACAGCCAATAGTACAGCTGTGAAAAATCAGAGACTATCATTCATTTATTTGATATCCAGTTAGAACAGCTATTAAGTACAAGTTTCCATTTTCAGCCTCAGGCGAAAAGCAGAAAACATGAATAAAATGAAAATTACACAGAACAACTACATAATGTTTTCATGTTTTTGATAACAAAATTTTTTCACACCTCCAAAGATCAGTCTTAAAAGTTGGTTGCACTTTCTGATTCTCATGATCCAAGTAATTTCAAACACATTCAGTGATGTTGAGGTCTGGACTCTGGGGCGGTCAGTACATTGTTCTGAGAATATCAGCAGCTTCTTTGTTTGATCTGTAAATGTTCTTTTTTTTTTGTCTGTCTCTTTTTCTCAGTAATGGCTTCTTGACAATTACACATCCTTTCAGACACATAGGGCTGAGTTGTCTTCTCACAGTAGAAGGATGGAGAGAAACACCTGT